CTTCTAAGTGGTGACGACCCGAGCGCCATCCATGGTCCAATGAACTCATAGTGTGTGGGACTGCCTGCAGAGTCCTTCACATATATTATTTTCAGAAGTCATATTCAAAATATTTAACGACCAGCATGGTGTGCCCCAGATCAATCAGATGAGACTTCAGCTGCGTAAACAACTGCTACATCTGTGCTGGAGCATCCCAGGTGAATGGCTCTAGTAAGTTCATGTAAGGTGCCTATCGGTGCTAACTCTTTTACATTAGGTACGAGAAGAAAACCAGGGGCTCAGGAGAGTCAAGAGGTAGCCCCCGCCAATCAGCCCAGAAGGGCGGCAGTGATTCAAGTGTAAGTTTTCTGACTCCTGCTCTCTCTTCCTCCCATACTCCAGTTGTCCAAAAATGTTCTCATGGAGACTTGGAGCTCACGCCTGAGACAGCAAAGCTACAAGGACTACTCAGGACATGATCTACTTAGACACTTTTCTTCTAAGAGTCCCAGGAGCCCGCAGGACTGGTGGACTGTGATCTTAAGCTTTCGGTGGTGCTCACACCTCTCAGAATAACTTCACTGTAAAGGCAGCTGCAACCTGAGGTGGGGGGCGGGGTATGCGCTCTAGGGAGTTGGCTTCAGATGATGAAATGAAATTTGACTCGGGATGATGGGAAGATGGGTGAAAATTACCATCTGGGATGGCATTTTTCAAGCAAAGGTAAAGCTAAGAAATGACCTCAGCTTCATCTCGTGCAGTTACTGTTTGGCTGTGTGCTCCCGGAGATGAGCCATTAGTGTGCCTGGTCAGCATTCTGCATGGTCCACAGGCTAGGACTTTATTAAGACGGGGAGCAGTGGCAGGATGGAAACGAGTATCTGAGAATCCCTGAGATGGAGTCATTTGCAGACTCATCAGCATTATCTAGGGTGTTGAGATCTGGCCTGAGAAGCTGCGAGCTTCATTTTCTCTCCACAACTTTCTGGCTCTGTAGGGACTCACTGGGCAGGAGTATCGGAGGTCAGGCATCTGGGACCAGGGTTCCAGAACCTCTGTGTGCTGCTCAAGATGAGATGTCCACACAGCACAGCGTCTAATGCCTCCAGAGGCTGGTTCAGAAAACGGTTGTTGATTGATGAGTGAGCAGGTGACAGAGTCAATGAAACAATGAAAAGCGTTGGTGAGTGAATGAGTGGTGGGTATATGGGCAAGCAGGCAAGGGCAATAATACTCAGTCTTGAGTCAATTGCTGGGGCCACTCTGGCACAATGTACCAAACGTGCCTTTCCTAAGAGCAGGGAAAGGGTTAAATGCTCAGTCACACCTTTGCATGCTTATGTAATTCAACCACATGCCTTTCTACAAAATGAAGAATAGCACAAAGAACACTTAAGAAACAAGACCTGATGGAAGGGACAAGTCCCCTATGTGATAATGTACTGGAGTCTGATTGCAGTTCTCTGAATACCCACCCTGAGCTTTCCAACTGTAGCCAAATCCATGCTGGCCTGGGGGGCCACCCTCCCTATGTCCTCACACCCTTCTGTGTTACTCTTTCTTTTCTTGGCTGTAATGAAATACCCAAAGCAAGAAACTTTATAAAGAAAAGAGATTTATTTAGCTTACAGTTTGGAAGCGGAAAGTCCAAGACCAGGTGGCCCCTTCAGTTTGTCCTCTGATAAGGGGCTGTGGTTGATGGCATCACGGTGGTGGAGAATACCCAAGAGGGAGAGATCACAGGGCAAGACAGGAAGCCAGAAACCAGGGAGAGGCCAGTCCTGCTCTTTCTATAACACCCTCTGGTAAGAAAGTGCTCATTCCGCAAGAGCAGCGCCCTCCCAGGACCAATCACCTCTTAAATGTCCTACCACCCACCATGCCATGGTGGGGACCAAGCTGCCAGCCCAGGACCCCTGAGAACACACTCAAGTCCTGTCTAAACCACAGCGCCCTCCCCTGGCATTGGCTGAGGACTGCCTTGGACTGGAATCTGCTCAGCTTTTAAGTTGATGGCTCTTTGTCCAGAGCCGGGAACCCAGCATAACACAGGTCAATAATCTGTCGGTGGGTAACAAAGACATTTTGGCAAGTTAAAGACTTTTCCCCTTCAAATGTTTTGGCTCTTACGTTTTTTTAGTGGTGATCGGGAAATCCAGAGCTAAGAAGTAAGAGATGGAGGACTTTCAGAGGGGCTGGTGGGGTAGGGTAATGGGAATCCAAATTGTTTACAGATTCGCCGTATTAACGAGGGAGGGCGGGGTGTGTTCGCCCTGTAGAACAGCATCCCTGTCTCCAGGAAGAGATGGTGGTAGATGCCATCCGGCATGGGTGCGTGCAGCCATATACGCCGTATACACCTCCAAAGAGCATTTGGTCATCAGCCACTTCCTGAGTCCCAGTGGGAGCTTAGGGAAGAGGATCTGGCCTGTGGTGCTCCAGTCTTGAGCCGAGTTCCCTGAGCAAGAGGCCTCAGGATCATCAGTTGAAGACCAGGGGCCACCCAAGTGCTGGTCATGGCAGAAACTACCAGCTAGTCACAGTTTATGCTACTTTGTTTAGAAATGACACCGAGTAAGGGATTTTGCCAATTCTCATCCTTAGAAGATCACCCACCACCTGGACACGGCCAGCCGCCTAACAGGAAAGCACTCCAAGATGCCAAGAGACTAAAAGGCTCATAACTGTTGTTTAGAAATGAAAATGGCCCTAAATTATTACCAGCGATGGAAATGTGTCTGGGGGAGGGCGGGACGTTCCGCCGTGGAGTCTCCGGGACACAAGGCGGATACGAATGGTTTATAGATGTGGGCGAAGGTTCTCAGAGCGAAGAATGTCCATTTCCATCAGATTAAAATACAGTTTGGGAAAACAATTACCTGCCCGAGATCCTGGGAAAGTAAAGCTTCCTGGTTTCTCTGCCAGGAAGAGTGACTGTAGAACAGGGCCGAGAATCTCCCAAACAAGATTTTAGGGTTTTATCCAAACAGCTGCAGTTCACCTTTGAGGGCCCCAGACTCACTGGGTCTGATGGATGTTGCAACACCAAGTTCGAGGTCTCCCCAGACTGGTGCCAAGAGTTGGCCCCAGGGGACAAAGAGAGAACAGTTGCTCTCTTAATCGGAGCAGAAAACAAAACTCCCTCCTCCCCCCCACCCCCCAACCAACCTCCCTGCTTTGTTGTGAAATTGTCACTGTGCCTTTGAGAAGCAGATTAAAATCCCAGCCATGTCAAATTTAAAGGGCAGGTTCCCAGGCAGGGAAGGGGAAAGGATTCAAGGGGGGAAAGAACCAGTTGCAGGGAATTTATGGAGGATTTGGGGATCACAAAAGTCGTGGGACTTGACTCAATTAAAATTAATGGAAAGGCACCAACGCACAATTTTAAAATCAGCATAAACTAAAGCGGTAAAGGGTAAAGGTATTCTGGCTTGTTCTCTGCTTCCATTCTTGAGCTTGCTTGGGAACCTCTGAGCAGACTTCCTGAAGCTCAGCATGGGTGCCAGGGGCTGTTTCTGCCTACTTCCCTGCTCTTAATACACAAAGATCTGCCACGGAAAGAAAGTGGGAATGAATGGTTCTCCCAACGTCCCATGCTTCCTGAGGGTGGGTCAGGTGCCCAGCAGAGTTGCTGGTGGGTGGGGTAAAAGAAAGGGCACCTGAGTTCTCAAGGCACGCACCAGAGACGAGGAAATTTGCAACAGGCTTTGAGAAAGTTGCCAGGGTTTAGAAGCAACGGCAGATTCTCAGACCCACAGGACACCCCAACTTTCAAAAAACGCAGCGCTGACCCCTCTGGACCCGCGGGTCTGCCCTCCAGACCTTGGAAGTGACTGAGCCTTCACAGGCTTCCTCCTGTGCTGCATGAAGGCCACGAAAGACGGGGACTCTGGGGGTCCTGATCCCATGGCTCCCAGACAGCCTCATGATGGGTGTGGAGGGAGGCCAGGGGAAGGCCCCACCTGTACCTTAGGGAGGGAGTATCTCTCTGCAAGGGACAAATATAATAGTGGCCTTTGGGTGGACACTGACATGGAAAAAAATACACCTTGAGTGAAGAGACCCTGGGCGGGTGGCCCTTCCTGGATTCTAAGGCCGGGCTAATTATAGTGCCTAGCTCCTGGGCTGGGGCCCTCATAAAGGTGAAACCAGCCTACTCTGGGGTGCTTAGAACTGAGCTCGGCTTGTAGGGGGTGCTCAGTAGATGCCAGGCCTCCTTACTGTTGCAAGCATCCTCCTTTTCTGATCATTCATTCAGCTTTCTGTTTTCTCACTTGAAGAGATTTCTGCATTTTGACAGCTGTCGTAATGGGGTTGTGATGGATGTTTAATATACATAGTTTCATTCACGAGAGATTCGGGGTCCCCAGCCAAATAAGCACGTGGCAATCTGTGCTATCAATTAAGCACCATGCTTGACATTTTTCAAAAAACTCTTACATTTCTGCGACCTTTCTTCTTTCTTTTCCCCTCTTCTCCCGTCTCAATCCACTAAATACCCCTAGCAGATATTTAATGAACCTTAGACAGATTATGAAAAATGAGCTTTCGTTGTGTGAAGATAAGTGTCATCTAGTATGGTTGCTCTTCTGAATCAAATGCTAGCACCTTGGTCTAATAGCAAAGAGAGAGATTAAAACCCTGTGACCAAGCAGAAGCCCTTGGTGTTGCTAGGAATTTCTGTTCTTAAGCAAAAATTGCAGCAGGAATCCCCTGCCTGCTTTGTGACATGGAAAATAAAGGGTTTCAGCTCCCTTGCTCGACAGGGGCTCTCTGGGCAGCATTTATCCCCCCTGGAGAGAGGAGGAGGAGGGGGCAGGGGCTGTCCACCCCCCCCTCAGGCTTAGTCTCCATGGCGTTCCACTTTCCCAGGCCCACCACGGCAACAGAACGATTCCCTGCCAGCCTGCTAAGTGACTGTCCTTGGTGAGAAGTCAGTCTGGGAGCAGCAGTAGGGACCGTGCACTGAGGCCACATTGTCTGGTAGGTGAGTCTCTAATCGATACTGCTAGTGCCCCTCCTAGGGACAGGGTTCCTTGACTCGGCGTCCAGGCCTTGGGAGCAGGGCTCCTGCAGTCGCTGTGCCTAGGGCAGACACATCCTTTTTCCTATTATAGTTACATCAGGAACAATGAGGAGTCAATGCACGGAGGGGCCTGTGGCCTCCTGTGGACCAGCGTTCTCACGATGCCCAGTGAAATGTGTCGATGCACAGACCCTTTGATTCATTGTGATCCACGGGGCTTTTCATGCCTTTAAAATAAATAGGAACCCTGAGAAGGTGTTGTGTGTCACCAGAGCTGCTAATCAGGGCTCTAAATGAAAAGATGTTGGGGGGCAATCAAGTCGTTTTTTTGCAGTTTGAAATGCAAACGTCCTCGCCTTCTTTGGCGAGGTGCTAGGTTACTAATTTGGAGGATGCCAGTTTTAGAGTTTGTCTCAGTTTGACTTGTAAATGAAAGGTGGAACCTCTCTAAAATTATCCCACTGCGTGGCTGCTGGCCCCAGCCTGCCTCACAGAACCCTCCTTGCCAGGCTGCGGTGGGACGAGTCCACTGAAGTTATTAGAAAGAGAAATCAGAGGTGCAGAGAAGCCTGTCAGTTAGGGAACTGCTCTCTTAGCTTCCTGTCCCACCACCATTTGGCCCCTGCGGCTTCCCGTAGAAAGGGTCTCAAGTACTAGGTGTCTCAGAATCACCTGAGGATCTTGGGAAAGCCCTGATGCTTGGCCCTTCCATGTGTCCAGGCCTCTGTGTTTTTTAACTCTCCTGAACCAACATTTCAGAACTGCCTTTCAGGACAGCAGAGAAAGTACTGATGGAAAGAGTGGGTAACATTTGTTTTGAAATAGAGATGCAGATTTCTTCTACTGCTCATTAAGCTGCCATTTGCGGAACACCTGGCAGGTGCCCACCTTCACTGCCACTCTGTCAAGTCTGCAGGACAATCCTCTTTTGTCCAAGAGAAGCCAGAAGCTTAGAGGGTCAAGTGAATTAAGCTTCGTGGCTCTGGCTGGGAAGGTGTGCATGTGGTGGGAAGGCCAGCCGCACGCAGGTCGGACAACAGGATTGCTGCCTGGCCCCCACTTTCAGTGCCCCTTGGATTCCTTGCACTCAGGTCCACAGGGAAGGGGCTGGGTAAGATGTGACCCTTTTTCTGGGGAGCTCTGGGCACTAGCCCACTGCACCATGCCTCCCGGGAGCCTTTGGTTTCTTCTTCTTCTTCCCGGCTCCATTCTTTCCCTCTTATCTTGCTTTGCCTTCACCCTTTTTCTTTCCCCTTGGAGCAGTTACTCTGAATCTTGCCAACACAGAAACCACCTGGGAAGCTCTGGGTCGCATCTCCAGGGAGTGTGGCAAACCGGTTTGGGCTGTGGCCTGGATATCAGGCGTTTTCAACACTCTGTGAAGATTTCAGTGCGAATTCCAAGGCCAGGAGACACACCTGTCAGCCACAGCCTGCAGAAGCAGAAGCAGGAGGTCATCTGGACATGCCCAGGTCAAAGAGGTGCTGACCACCAGTCCACTGGTGTAAACAGGGCACACAACGCAGCCTCACATAATGCCTACATCAGCCCAGTACATCAGCTGCACGCTGAGAGAACACCTAGCTACCGCCCCAGAGAGCGGGGATCCCAACATCCAATGGGCTCGATGCATCTGTAACTGGCCTCTTAAGGGATTCTGGGAAAATATATTATGCTCCTTTGGGATCAAGGGACATCCATGGGTGGGCGACAGGAAGGAGAGCAGCTACCACAGCTGCTCTGTGCCCAGAACAGCCTCCTACAAGGAGTGGCTGTGCAAACACCATTCCCCCAGTGAGATCCATGCCATAAACTAGACTATAAAATTGGCTTCATTGGCTCCTTCTGTGAACCAGCTCCTCAGGTTTATTACACACACAAAACACTCACACCCTGAAAAGGACAGAATATTTTGCATTGAGCTCTGCTTTGCACCAATCTCTTATGAAAAATATTGCAGACCATAATACAACCTCATGTCCCTACCTGGGGCATTTACCCAAAGACTAGAACCACTCGTTCCAAAAAGGATTCCTCATGAAATACAGACGATAACTACTATCAGGGGAAAGCAGGCTGGAAACAGGCTTCCGAAAGTATCTGAAGGCTTCTGCAAATGTTTGAATTCACGGAATTGCCTGGAGCACTCAGCACAGCACCTGGCACGCATAGGTCACCACTGAACCTCTATTGATGCATAATGAGCAAATCCATGCTGCTGTGTGTGGGCCTAGATCCACAGACAAGGAAATGCTAGGATACTGCTAGGGCAATGACCCAGAGCTTTCCACAGGAGCAAGATTAGCTGGTGAATAAGTGCAGAAGGGGTTAGGGTACTCCCGAGGGCAAGCCACCAGAGAGGGCAGGAATGAACCCCCTACCCTTGGCTGTGGGCCAGGAGCAAGGAAGAGAAAGGGAAAAGGTATTGTGTCCACTCCTAATCATCCCAGGTGAGGACATAGACCTCCTGCAGGAGCTGGGGTGGAGGGTGCACCCTAGATCCCAGCACACTGCCCATTAGCTGAGCTATTACTGCAAAGAGGACAAGGGGGGCACAGAGCTGATTAGGGACACAGGCCTCGCCTGCTCCCTGGGATCAGGACAGCTGTTCCCCTTGAGAGACAGCTGCAGATGGGGCCCCATGCTGACCACCAACTCTGCCGTGCCTGTGGGCACTTCTCAGGGCTGAAGTGACTTCTAAGTGAGAGAAGTTTCAAAGACACCAAGAAGTAAACCAAACCCGAAAGAGGTGGCTGAAAACAAGGGTGGCATTTGGATCACTTTGCATGTGGCAGAAGTTCAGAACAAAGGGAAATCATGACATCGCTGTAAGCATGGGTGGGGGTTGAACAAATTGTGCAGAGAACAGCATACAGGCCTTTGCAGGCCTGCCGTCAACACTTGCCCGGGAGAAGCCTGTGCTCTCCTTCCCCTGTCTCTGTGTACATTAGACAGTGCCATTTATTTTAGCAGGAATAACTGTGCTCCTCTCTTATCGCCCTATTTTGGGCTTCTTTTGAAGGCAGCTCACTGCAGAACACCAGCACTCCATTCCACCATGAGCGCAGCCTGCCCTGGGGCTCTGCCCCCTCAAATACTGCCATCTCCAGGACCACACAGGCGTGGTATGTAACAGTCAGTGAAGAAAAGAAAAAGTTGCCTTAAAGAAACAGAGTGGATCCTCCTCCTGCAATGTGTGATTGCAACTTGAATGAATGCAGATAGGGACGGCCATGCCAATCAGGACACATACCAGCTGTTGGCCAGTGAGCTGGGCAGGCCCACATTGGCCTTGGCCACCTCACTGGGGCAGTCTTAGGGGTACATGTGTGGCATCGTCTGGACATGTGGCATGTGTCACCAACTGCTCTCCTAACTTCTTTTGTTCAGATCCTATGCTCCCCGAGGTAGCTCTGAAGCATGTTTGGATTTCCAGAACACTTAACCTGCCAAAAGAAAGTGACCCTGGCAGGTAAGTGCACACAGTCCAGTCTCCACTTCTGTCATTACAAATGGCACTGTGGTTTGACACCTGTGCAGTGAATGTTTACTGGGAGTCAGCTCCTAAGAGATGAAGCTGTCTTTTGTGCAGTGGACAAATCAGGTCTTCGAGCCTGCCTGGAGGGAGTTCAGACCCCAGTCTGCAGGGAATTCAGCAAATATCGCCATCCTCTGGGGGCTCCTGGCCTTCATCTTCCCCTGGTGACCCCCACCCTCCCCCTGCCCGCCACAGAATTGCTGAAAGTTTCCCATGGCTTCTTTTTGAACTTCTATCCTTCTTGAACGAAGACTGTAGAGTCAGATACAACTGGAGTTTCACAAGTCTGAGTGCCTGCATGTGGCTTAGCTATGTGGCCAGCCTTGGAGTCTGTGTCACTTGTGACCAGTTGACTCCAGTGGCCATGCAGACTGCAGCCAGGGAGGAAGGTGAACCAGAAAGAGCTTCAGGAGATTCTTACTGTCCAAGAACACAGGCCGAGGTTGGGGGGACAACATCTCTATGACACGGTCAAACATATCCAATGTCACAGATACCCAAGAGCCCAAACAGATAAAAGGATGAGCCAGGAGGGGGGAGTCGATCTTGAAGACTTTCTAGACGAGGTGTTGCTAAGGAAGAGCAGCCTAGTGACAGGATCTGAAGGACAGGTCTTAACGTCACATAGATTGGGTTCAAGTTTCTGACAGTATGTAATGTCATAAGGGACTGGCAAAGCTAAGCCGGGTGGGAACAGAGTGGGACACCTCAAACTTCCCCCAGGGGGAAGGGGACGTGCTGAGGGAAGACGCACAGGAGAAAGCCTTCTCCAGCACCTGCTTTGGGTGACCTGCTTCCCTCCCGGTGTCTCATCGGACAGTGTTTATTATCCTTGGCATTTTACAAACAAGAAACCAAAGATCAAGAAGGTTAAGTAGGTCGCCTGCCGGGCTCAATGGTGCACGCCTGTCATCCCAGCAACTTGGGAGACGGAGGCAGGAAGATTGCAAGTTCAAAGCCAGCCCCAGCAATTTAGTGAGACTTTCGTCTCCAAATAAATAATCAAAAGGGCTGGGGCTGGGGCTCAGTGGTTAAGCATCCCTGGGTTTAATCCCTGGTGCCAGAAAAAAAAAGGTGGGGGTTAGGTAACCTATCTAAAGTCACATCCCTGGTTGGTGGCCAAGTCCAGCTAGTAAACACTCATTCTGCATCTGGTAGCACTCTAAATGCTTTATTCCATTAACTCATTTCAGTTTCTCATCAACTCTGCTCGGTAGGTGCCATCATCAGCCTATTTACTGTTGAGAAAAACAAGGCACAGAGAGGTTAAGTAACTTGCTCAAGAACAAACCAGCTAGTAAGACAGAGCTGGAATCAGAACTCAAGCAATCCAGGCCTTGAATTCGGAATGTCAACCACTGTGCTTTTTCCATTCCCTAGGCCGCACCACCTCCCTCTGAAGCATATTGATTAAGAGGCAAAATTGTCAAAACAGCTTGGATGCTTAGGATGAATATTTTAAATATTATAAATCCTGTGCTCATAAGGGAGTGGTTGTTTAATGCAGTTTCTGCTGATTGCTCAGTGATCTATCCAAGACTGTGATGTGCACAGACTATTTTTGTCTCCGTTAATCTACAGCACCATATAAACACTGACTCAACTGGAAAGCCTGGACAATAAATTATCACTAGCCCAAGTGCTAAAATAGCTCTTGATTTTCTCTGTGCCTGAGCATGCTATCTATTTATACTTTGCTTACTTCTGTGGAGTTCAAAGTGCTTTATACACATTTCATCATAGCTATACTTATGTAGATTTATTGTCTTTATTATACACATGTGACTAATGTACCCTCCACCGCTTCATATTTACTATAGGATTCTCGGTTTTCAACTAGCTGTTGAATCTATGGGTATTACTGTTGCCTTTAATTTATAACTACATGGAAGTGTGCTAACAATGGGAAGAGTAGCTCTTTTTATTTGAGCTAAATTCATTTTATATATGGTAGACCATTCTTCTTGAATATTAACCATATACAAATTTTTCATCCTTTTGCTACAATTCCATTTGTGGCTGACTTCGAACAGACCTGTTATTTTACTTTCCAAAGAGCAGTGAGCTGTTGTTCTTTTTCAGACTGATATGTGCTTTGGCACATGAGGATCCCCAAATTTGGTCTTTATCTTTTCAGTTTTCATAGGCATGAAACAGCAAGGAAGGGAAAAAAAAACCTCCAAAGAAAGGTTCCCTTGACTAGAAGCGGGACACATAGGATTCCCAGACCACAGTCCATAAAAACTGGAAAACTAAATTTATACACTGTCAGCAGCTAAAAGAACCATAGATGTAGCAGAATGATGTAGGACGCATAAAGAGGAACGAAGGAAGAGTTGTCATTTGGGGTTTCTGTCAGTGACATATAAAAATAGCCAATGCTTAGCCCTTCTGTCTTTTGTTCTCCCGTCTGAATATCCCTCTTCATTACCGAAAACAGAAACTTCAGCCCTAAGCATCTCCCTGTTTTTGCAGAAAGGATATTATGCCAACTGTCCTTTTTAATAGCGATCATTTCACTGGCCATGGGTGTCTACATTTTCATCTTGCCCAAGCGTGTCATTGGCCAGTCTGAATTTAGGAAGATGGGGCAGGTAATATAAAACAGAATCACGAATCCCCGCAGTGTCATTAATGGTGCTGGGGGAATGTTCAGAATCAAAGCCATTTATTTTAGGAATGTTCTGGTTCCCCAGTGCTGTTGATATGATGAGCCAGTGACAAGGACAAGCTCCTCAGCTGCAGTCCACACCCTCATGCAGAAGGTCAGGTCAGAGAGCCAGAGCCTCGATGCAGCTAGACTGAGGCCCTGTGTTCTATGCTTCTGGCTTCTGCACACACTGTCCTCCCTTCCTCCATAACAAAACGCCTCTATCATTTCCCTTTCAGGACTCCCTCTAAAAAGCCTTTCCTAAAACGGGGTTGGATGCCATGCTACCTGTGCCCACCCGGTTTCTCCTACTGGGTTGACAACACCAGGAGCAACTTCAGATAGAGACGATGTCTCAGTAAGTAGCTGAATGAAAGGGTGGATGTTGGACGTGGTCACAGCAGGAGGTGGGAGTGCAGCAGGGCCCTCCTGTTATTGGTGCTGAGCTGCTGCGTGACCATCCTTGGTGTAGGCACCCAGTGGGAGCATGGGAATCTTTCAATCAAAACCAGGCCAAGGCTAGAATTAGTGCAACTAATAAAACTTACATTACTTGAATGTTTTCAAAAGCAGATCTTGCTTTTTAAATTTTTCTTTGTTCTTTATCTCATGAAAACAAACCATAGTATGGCGTTCTCATCTGAATCAGGTCCAACCCTGAAAGCTGGGGCAGTTTTTAGATGGCATGCTCCACTTGGCCCTGCCAATAGAGTTGGCGTTCACACCATGGAAATGTCAGCAGAATCCGACCGGCTCGAGAAGGTTCCATAGAGCTTCGTGAGGATATGATCAAGGTTCAGAGAAACGTGAAGCACAGAATAATTAATAGCAATGGTGAGTGGAAAATGCTAGAAAGCAGTAATAATAGCAAACGATCCAAAGTATGTTTCCTGTTGTATCTTCTTTTTTTTGAAATTATCTGTTTTAACTGCAAAGCAACTTCAGGCTCACGAGCTCCACATCTCAGACAGAATGACGAATGGAAATGGTCTGTCTCTGGAGTTAGATCCCAGTTTAAACTCGAGCTCCAAACCTTCCTGGTTGCATGACTCTGGCAAGTTCCTGAAAGTGGTGGAGCCGCTGTTTCCTCAGCATCCTTCAGGATTTTGTGAGGTTTACAGAAAACTTATGCGTTTAGAGCATATTGGGGGTTGGATAAGTACGACTGGTGCGATCGCCACTGTCTCCAACAATGTTAGAGAAATAGGGCAGCTTCAATTTGGGAATTATGAACAGTCTTAAGCTGGATTGAAGTTTAGTTGTATAGTTGAAAAAGCAAATAGAATGTAACCTAGGAGACACTCAACACACAGGAGAGGGCAAACTTGAAGGATTTACTCATGCCCATTCTAGAAGCAGTGTTTAGATAACCTTATTCATTTGTAATAATTATTAGTTTTAATTTATGACTCATAATTAAATTATATTAAACAGCATATTACATATCTTTCCAGAAAATCTTACTCACATATATGTACATATATGTTTATGATTTTTTTTTCTCACCACTGAAATCATATAATCCACATAGACTTTAATTTTTTCACTCTAAAATAGGGCAGGGCACCTTCTATGTAAGTTTATATATGAAACAGCAAGGAAAAAAAACTCCAAAGAAAGGTGATATATGTGAGATATGTATATATCACATTTTCCAATCCAATAACTGCATTTTATTTCATAATATCAATTTACCAATTTAACTAATCTCCCATAGAGACATTTCTTTTTTTCCTTTTTTTTTTTTTTAACCAGGGACTGAACCCAGAGGCACTTAACCACTGAGCAACATTCCCCAACCCTTTTTATTTTTTATCTTGAGACAGGATTTTTGCTAAGTTGTTTAGGGCCTTGCTAAGTTGCTGCGGCTGGCTTTGAACCCTCGATCCTCCTGCCTCAGCTTCCTGAGCTGCTGGGATTATAGACATGTGCCACTGTGCCTGGCTTATTTTATTTTTGTTACAAAAAACCAAATTAATAATGCTGGAATGGATGTGAAATTACTGAGTTTAAGATATGTGGACTTAGCATTTTCGAAATTAAGGTCAAACTGTCCTGTTATATTTTCCATATAACAATATATGGAAAAATAGAGGGGAAAAAAAACTAGACTTTTTAATACTTGCTTCTCTTAACTCTGTCCTTCCAGATTTGTTCCGGAGAAGAAGGTCTCATCTGAAGTCATGATGACCAATTTATAGATTCTCCCTTCGACGTCTACCCTTAATGAAGTAGTTCCTTGCAGTTATCCTCTCTAGATGTTCAGTTTAAAAATGTAAACAATGCTGAAGGTCAGAAAGTTTCCGCTTGTCCTAGGGGAGGGATATCAGATTCCTCAGCTGAGGGGCCCAGGGCCGTGTGGGAAGCCCCCACTCCCACAAGTCCAAGGCAACCAACCGATCACAGATAAACAGATAAAGTGACTCCTGTTTACTGAACTCCTCTCCGCGTGTCCGGCTCAGCCCTGCCTGCTCCACACATCACCTCCTGTTAGTCTCTGTGCTTGCGCGGCCTCGTGGATTGCCTGATGATGCCTGGGAAGGAAGACGGGGTGCCCACCCCACCAGCACCTCCAGCAGAGAGCCGCTTTCATCAGCAGAAGCCGGGAGGGCGGCCTGGAGGCCTGTTATCAGACCCCATCCCTACCAACTGTCATTTCCGAGATCACTGATGTTCTCCCTGATGCCCCTGGGCTTGGTGAGATCTCAAAACCTTCAGGATCAGTGAAAAGATAATAAGCATGGGTTCCGTGTAGTTTCAGAGTCAAGGTCATTTGGATTCTATAAAAATCGTCGTAGAGAAGGGGCCTATTGAATATCTCTAGATTAAATGTTGAATTAACCGGAATGCCTCGCTCTTCTAGCTAACTGTAATTCATTGTATGGGATTTGCCACCTTACTCAGCCCTGACCTCACCACCAAAAATTTCTTATGCTTCACTTCACTCTTACTATCAAACTGAGCAAAGGAACAGACACCCTCTCCCAGGATAAAGAATGTGAAAAAGAGCTATTTCCCATCATCTCCCCCTAAAAAGAATCCAATATAAGACTGTTAAATCCACCCTTAATTTCCAAATTAGCAGTTACATCATTGCGATTAGAGTAAACAATTAGTTTAGAATGCAAACCTGTATTTTTTTATGAGTTGCTAAGCAACCTCTTTTTAAAAAATATTTTTTAGTTGTAAATAGACACAATACCTTTATGTATTTATTTTTATGTGGCACTGAGGATCGAACCCAGTGCCTCACACCTGCTAGGCAAGTGCTCCACCACTGAGCCACAACTCCAGCCCCCTCTTGCTTATTTTTTAACAGCATCTTTCCTAAAGTTTTATTGAAACTCAAACTACAATCTTCCCCCCAAATTAATTAAGTCCAATCCCCCAGTAGAGAAGTCCATTCCATAATGTATCAAAACTTGGGTACTAACAGTGCTATGAGATTTAAGTCAGCACTAACCAGAGCCCACACCTCGCTTGCAGAGAGCAAGAACACCATCACCACTGGCCCCTGCCCTGTAAGGGAGAAGGGACTCTCCCCTTTTCCTGTCTGAAGGCCAGGCCCCAGGAGATGGTCCCAGCCTTAGACACCATGGGGCTGCCCAAGCAAGTGAAACCACTCTGGGGAGTCTTTATTTTAATAACTATAAATTCCCTTCATCTGTCTATGACAAAGCTTTGACTGAATTAATTCCATTTTCTAGCCAGAAAATTTTTTTTGTGAAGTTTCAGTATATTCAAGCACAGGTCATCTGTATTCAATGGTGTCACTAACCTACTCAAATGAAAAGTGCTTCTTGTGTGTGTGCAACATCTATCCAACTCTATTTCAGTTTCTGAGGTGGGTTTTTGGTGAAGCCCTTCACTGTAGATGTTGTGCATGAGCAGCTGCATACTGAAGAAGCAAAGCGGGCCCTGGAGTTGAGGATAAGCCCTAAAGGTTTCTGATGCATTCAGTGGAGACTGAGAACTCAGTGCCAGAAAGACCATAGGCTGGTGCATCGGAGCTGAGCACTGTGATCTCCTTAGGATAGGTTGTTGTGTGTGATTAATTAATTGCTGACCAATCAGAAGTAGCCCAAAGTTTATAAAAAAGAAAAAACTGGCCTGGACTTCATCTCTTTAGCATTATTTAAAAATGACCTATAAAAGTTGCATTTCCTTTGCCTGTATTTGAGTGGCTGTTTTCCCCATTGGAGTTGATGCTATTCATTCAACATTACCATGTGCTCGGTGCTTGCCTTGCCTAGGTGCTGGGGCAGTGTGGAAACCGTGTCTGGCATGATCCCTGAGTTCTTGGAGCTGAAAGAATAAGGAAGCCAAGCAGTAACTGTGTGATAGGAAAATGCCCAGAGCATAACGGGTGGTCAGAGAAGCCTCTCTGAGGAAGTGATATCTAAGCTGAGTTGAAAGGCAAGTAGGAGCCAGCCCTGGGGCCTGGTGGGGAATGCAATGCAGGCAGAGCTCACGGTCCCAAAAGGCCCCAAGGAGGGAGCAAGCTGATGTGTTTCTTGGGATTTCAGCCCCAGTGGCCCGTGAGCCATGGGCAAGTGGCCCAAGGGTGAGAGACATGAGAAGTGTGGTGGATCAGGCCCTGTGAGACTCTGGAAGTCAGACTGAGAAGCCTGGACTTTATCCTAAGGGTAATGGGGAGCAATGGAGTGATAAGGTCAATTGCAAAGCATGATTCATATAACTCTTCTGCAAAAATCCCAAACTCAAGAGATGACAAAGAGAGTAGGAGGATGACTGAGGTGCACACGCAGCTCCTGGTACCCCTCACCCAGCGAGCGAGGCTCTGGGATGTGCCGATGGCTACTGTGCTCTTGAAATGACATCACCGTGTGACGTCACAGCTGTAGCACTCACTGTTACATCAGCACTAATGTGGTGGGGACCTAAGCCAGCAAGGCCTTCTCCCTCCATCTGGCCTGGCATCCAGACTCAGCAAGCCTCTCTCTCTCACCAAACACGGCCCCCGTCTACTGTTGGTGTTCTAGACATGCACAAGGGTTTGAGGCCCCAAGCACTGGCAGATTCTATACATCTCCTGCGTAACTGATTCCAGAAACAAAAACAGGGGGAACTATCTCTGATATTCTTAATGAATTTTGAAGAAACAAGGGTGATGGATTCTGCAACTATATTTTCATGATGTGAAGAGAAAAACTCCCAAATACTCAAGTGCCCTGTGATGAAGGTCATACTCAACCATTAACCACCTATTTTTAATAAAGTCAACCACTAACTTCTGAGCCAAACAAAAGGTCGTACGTTATCTGAGAAGCACATGCTATTGTGGTCATCAAATAGCCAATCTGGGGTGAGGTATTCTATGGGAGATGCTTGTTATGAAACTGGAGTGCACTACAGTGGTTGCTGCTATTCAGAACTTAGATAAATCTAGATAAGTGGTAAGGGAGACCTGGACTAGATTACACTTCAAAATGATGTTTCAAACATGTCCAAAGAAATGTCACTTTTGTGTGTGTGACGAGAGAAATTAACATGAGATATATTCTTTTAAACTTCGAAGTGCACAATACAATACTCTTCATTGTAGGCACAATGTGGTTCTACTGATCTCTTGAAGTTATTCATCCTATATACCTGGAACCAACGAATATTAAGTTCCCATTCCCCCTATAAAAAATCATTCTATTTACACTTTTAAGAGTGTAAATAACTGTTAGAGATAACCCACATAAGTGGGATCATACAGTGTCTGTCTTAGGACTGGCTTATTTCATTTTGCATAATGTCCTCAAGTTTTCATCATGTTGTTGCATATCGAAGATTTCCTTCTTTTTTTTTTAAGGTTGAATACTCCATTGTACATATGTGTCATATTTTCTTCATCCATTCATCCCCAAAATGACATGAAATTTCTTGAGGTATATTATTATCTTTTGGCAAAAAACTTAGATGTGCCTTAAGGTTCTTCCACCAACTTTTCATGATCATATGGTGGTCCATACAGCAAATAAAATGATACAGTCACATCTAGTATGGTATTAAAAAGATCTCTGTAGACTGATTTCCTTACTTGTACAAACTCGAGCAAGATACACTATATTTTTAAACTTTGGTTCCTTATCGTTTTAAAAAATTAGAGATAACCATATTCATCTTTCAAAGGGTTGTTGAGATGATTCAATGAGATAAATCCAACAGAGCCTATGTCAGAGTCACATTCAATAAATGTGAGTCCCTTTTCCTTTGGCCTTCTGCTTCATGGTAGTCCACCTTTATGGCGAGCTAAGAATTTTACCTTTTAATTTTTTGGCCCATTTGTCAATACTACCTGATGGCATGTGAGCCATCAAAGGGTGGGGGACTTTTTCTCTGTGCTCATTGTGGTATCTTTAGCACTCAGAGAAGTGACTGCCATATAGGAGTTTCTCAATAAATAGGCAATAAATGAACAAGTGAATGGGAAGTTACAGTGAAATGAGGCTGAATTCGAAGGCCACTGGGTGAAACATCTGGTATGTCTTCAGTGGTAGAGAGACATTTCAAAAGAACATTCAGATAAGCAACCTATAATGCAGCCACCTTACAAAATAATTTATCAAAGCCACCTATTAAAAAGAGACACAGCTCAACAATGTACTACAAACTCAATTAAAGCAACGGATGGGAAAAGTCTGGTCCCACTGCTGCTGGATCCGCAGGAGGCCAGTGATCCCCAGGAGAGTAGGAAGCACAGCACATAACACTTTCCTTGTACTCAACTTCGGGCCAGCTGGGTCATCCTGGGGAAGCCCTGGTGCCTTTGAAGTCACCTGGAACAAGAGTCTCCAGGCTTTTCAACTTGTTTTCCACGATAGTCCGCTGAGCCATACATTGACTCCATTATTCTAGAATAACACAATCCTATTGAGGAGCTACCCCAAACATCAGAGTGATTGGGAACAGACCAGAGTGGCTCCGAATGACTCTGGCTTGGGAACAGAAACCTATGTGAGTCAGAAGACGGGGGATCTAGAGCTGGCTGTCCCACCGGCGGGCCTGGTGGCCTCGGTTTCATCGTCGGGAATTACCAGCACAGATTATTTTACCCCAAAGGTCCCCCTAGTTCAAGAGCCCCTGCCTGGAATATAGCAGCCCTGGCCAGTCTCCATCCCTACGGCCTTGATGGACTGAACAATTACACGTGTGGAAACCACAGATGAGAGGAGGGGGAGAAAAACAGAAGGAAAAGCCACCCGTCCCCCTCTTTTCAAGAACAACGGCTCGCAATTGCTCCCATCTGGCACGCCTCAATGGCAACCATTTGCAAGGTTCAAAAACCTTGAACCTTGAAAGTGAAATAAGGAGCTTTATCTTCAAAAGGAAAATTAAAGACCTGGAGCAGACCACTTGGGACCTTTTCATTCCACCTGGATAATGGTGGGTATTATGACTCCATGCAGCAGTGTGTTTTTATGAATAGGCTAACACATACCTGGAGGCTGTAAAATAGGGCTTTAGGATATAACATGTTGATTCAGATACAAAATAAAATACTGTTTGCATTATAGACTTTTAATGAAAAGCCTAAAAACATGCCCATTTAATGAATCTCTATTTTTTTTTTATAGGGCCTGCTGAAAAATGCCTGCTTTTAAAAAAAAATGTAACTATGGGTGGTCTCACACCTAGCAGTGGCACAAGAATCCTTTGTCAGACCATGTGTCTTAATTTTTGGTATGGAAAATGTGGTCACCGTAATTATAACCCAGAGAAAGCAAAGGGTTTTTAAAATTCTGTGCAGGAGGGGAGTAAGAGTTCATTAACGTTCAATAAAACTATAATTTAACCAGCTTTGAGGTATGTAGTAATCAGCATTAAAACGAC